TTCACCATCTCTACGGGACGGCTTAGGTCCATCGGGACCGTCCGGGGGAGGAGATATCAGCTGCGATCCTGGGAGCCCAGGATCGCCCGCCGTATCGCCGCGATGCCAGCTCCGCCCCAAATCCAGATCAGGATATTTTTGATGGGATGAAATTCCCCAATTTTAAGGCTTACAAAGTTTAAGACAAAACTTATTTACAACCTGTTTTTCCATCTTAGGTGTAATGAACTATTTTCTTTCTCCCTGAGAGAGGAAGACATATTGCATCCCCACCCCACAAAACATAACCAGCTGCAATCCCAGGTTAAACCAAGACAATAACTTGACCTGAAGCCCCATTTTGTTAAAAAAAAGAAAGAAAAAGAGAACTGAACTGCTGCTAAGTTAGGATTCTTCATTTCTAGATCATTCAGCAATTTTGGTCTGGCTAATTCAACAGATTATGGGCATGCCATGCCACATTCCTCAAAGGCTCTCACTATACAAAATAAATTAAAGGCGAAATCTTCCAGTGGAGTGTTTGGCAACTCGCTTGCAGATTGACACTTAGAAATTGGGATACAATTATAGGAACATTTGCTTCTTCTGCCAAATATTTATTTGTGGAGTCTTGGTGGACTTGTTTTCATTAGAATTTGACATCCTTGCAAATCCTGGTCACATTAGGACACAATCACTGCAATTGCTAAGAGAGCAATCCTTTCTTTTGCTACTTATTGAAAGTGATTGGTACTATCTAGGGAGTCCACAACAATGAATTATTAATTTTAACAGTGAAATTTGTCTCCACATCCAAATTTCTATCTATACTGAATGGCCTTTACTGCTGTTGTTTTCAAAGTGTTTCTCATAAGCTTATTGTGGGCTTCACCATGAAAAAATGAGTAAAGGCCGGCAAAATTTGTTGCAATTTGCAATCTTTCCTTGCAATTTGCAGCCAGAGCACAATAGAAGGAATAATAGAAAAAACAGAAAGGATAATAGGAAGGCTAAAAAGGCCTGGTCAGTGCTGCATACAATGTGAACACACATACAAACCAAGCATATGCCACAGAATCAAGTTTAAGCACAGCATTCCCGTATGGACATATAGCAGGCTTTCAGTTGGACAAGCCAATCTGAAATGTTTGGAAGCTGATTTGCTATGACCCCAAGAAAAATTATGCTTTTCAAAAGCATCAGAGCAATTTAGATTATCCCATTATTCCAAAGGATCAAATTCAACTAGATTAGATAAATTCCCTTCATTTTTGGGGATCAGATAGTGGTTGGGTTTATATGCCATTGTGAAATCATTGTGCGTTTAGCATAGTATATTGAATAAGCCAAAGACTGACCACATGTATCCTATTAAGCCTTAAATGATGGTTTACAAACCACAATAGATGGGATCACATACCATGCTAAACCAAAACTAAAGAGACCACATTAAGACTTAACATCATATGTGAATCCAGACCTAGATAATCTTTAGGTGAAATCTCTATGACTCTAATCCAAAGAGCGATAGGAAAAATATATCTTTCATCAATAGCAAATACTCTTTTTTCAACAATAAATACTTCATGATTAATAAAATCTCTCCCCTAAATTAAAAAAAAAAATCCATGAACTAAAGAAGGGTTTTTCAAACTTTTCCAGGCTAGGGGAACTGCTCTAGTGATAGAAACTTGGCTGAATTTGAATAAACCTTTTTTTTCTCTTAGTCTCGCACAGGACCCCATCATGTTCTCATGGAATCCTAGGGTTCCAAAGAACACAGTTTGAACATCTGAGCCAAGTATGCCTTGGATTCTTTCCCCCCCTTCCCTATACAAGCTGCTCCTTCTCTCTTCTCTCTTCTTATGGCAAAACATTTTTTTATTGAGGAGTTTTCTAAAAGTCTGTAGCGCATGGAGGTTTTCAATTAGAGTGTATGTGTGTGTGTGTGTGTGTGTGTGTGTGTGTTGGGGGGGTGTTCAGAAAATGTATTTACATGAATCTAAATAAATGTGTAAATCTTAGATATACAGATGTACTTAATGCTCACATGCATCTTTCTCCCCCCCCCCCCTTTTACATAGGACCCCTGTAGTATAA